AGATTTTTAGATCCGACTCGACCGCACTATTTTCCGTCCACGGTAGACGGTCCAGATGGTACGAAGTCGTATCCGTCACCAGGATAAATTTCTTGAAGCAGACTTGATAGTAGAGGCACTCTTTACCAGTTAGTGCCACCAGTTGGACAAGCTTCTCTGGCCAGCACGTTCCATCTATGAGACTACTAACCTCTAGTAGAGACGTAATGTCGATCATCCGAGATTTCTGAATGTTTTACTGCCGTATTTCATGAAGAAGTTAACTGCAATTGATTGGGTCTATTCTATAGTAGTTTTACCCCCCCCCGTGATGCGAAAAATGTCATGATTCGCGCAGACAGATATCAACAGGTGGCCACTTCACGCTGGCCTAGTTCTCCACTCACACAGCTGCCTGGCTACACGGATTCCCGGACGGACGATAGCAGTTCTTGGAACAATTCATTGGCAAAAGGATAAACTGTAACACACGAGGCCACTCCTACGGACTCTCTGCTCACCTTCCAGACCTCAAAAGATCCCCAGTAGTGAACTCCTTTCGGACACGCTCTCCGAGGTGGGCTAGGGAGTTTGTAAGCTTCTTATGGTGATGTACGTATCAACACTAGTTCTGAGTCAGCGTAAAGTAGGCTTCTAACATCCATCGGTCCAGTCACAGGTAGGACGTCGCATTTTCTGGGTTCGAACCTCCTGAACGAGTTCCCACGTGGTTCCTCACCAGTGTCCAAGTTATATGTTATTTGTGATATCCTTCTTAGCAGTAAAAGTAGGAGGCGTTGGTACCTTCTTCCTTTCCTAAAACTCGATTCAGCTGCACCACTGATCTGTCAATACAGAAGACGCCGCAGGACCGTTGATTCTTAATGCCGTAGTTCTGGTTTTTTTGAAGCAGTATTAAATTATTCGAGCATTACCTCCCTTTGCTGGGGAAGCCTCCAAAGTACACCATCAGAGACATAATATTGAGCACAAGTGGATAGTAGGCTGGCTGATTTGGTTTTGTGTTGCTCCAAAATAATCTCCGACTGTGAAGAATCATGCAAACGCCCTTTACACACATGCATCAGACATTTTTATTCACAGGAGAGATCGGCATGGCTACGTACTTTCAGTGAAGTACGCGTTTGCGGGCGTGATTCAAGTTGCATACTTAGCTGTCAGTCTAGTGCTTATCGATCGGTGTCCTACACTCTTTGCATTACTTGCGAAAGCCTTCTATCAACGAATCAGTCCTACTCCAGACAGAATGGTCGCCTATCTTAAGCCTAACGAGACACAAGTTTGGACTGTTGAATACTCTCGTTACCCAGTTCAATTTGTACGCAAATCCCCTCCCTATAATGGCCGTATAGCAGCGTGGGTCAAGGATTATTTGGCATGTCAGGACGCTATAGAGACTGCATTATACTTGATAGCACAGACACTAGCTAAAAGCCCATACACGCGTGTTTCGCCGATATTCTGCCGCTGCATGAAACTGCCGAGAGGGGCTCGGCTCTTCGACGGGTCCTCCCAACGATCCCTGTGTGGTTTCTGGTAGACACACAATTTTTGTTAAATTATGAATGCGCTGTATCGAGCAGCACGACGTCTGGACTTGTCCCCTTGTTACTGTCTTTGGCTTTCCAGCATAATAGCTAAATAAGATTGCCGGCAGTGTCATAAAAATCCTGACCCCCCCCCTCCCTTTTTTCAGGGACGATGCTGACCCCGCACTGCCGGTGTGTTGAGCAGGCCGCTTCACATATCTGTGAACTATTTTCTGTGGGAACTAGCAAGACATCCTAACCTTGTTTAATTTCCAAGGCAATTAATGCGATAACTTTGAGTAAATCCTTTGAGAAAGCCTTTTCGGGCACGGTCAGAAATTTGGTATGAATATTTGAGCTGAAATCCATCAGCTACTGCGGAATAAGCGCGTAATATTCACAAACAGCCAACAGGCAGCCAGTAATATACAGTTGTGTGACTATTTACAGTACTGCCTGAAAAGGTCTGTTCCGAAGGATTTACTCTAAGTTCGCGCATTAATTTCCTCGGAAATTAAAGGAGACAGGGCGAAACTGGAGAAGGCTGACGGACTCGCTTATGAGTCGAACCCCCGTAGCAGCGTCAGGCAGCGGCACAAGATCGGCGAAACCCGCGTGTCTGGACTTTAAACCTACACTTATGTTGTCAGTAGGGTAAACAACCGCACAAGGTGTCCTAAGCCCATCCTTCTTGGTTGTCACGGTTGCCGAATCTGATGTGCGTCCGTTTCTGCTGATGGTACCCCGATGACTCTACTGGTGCAACCTAACTGGTTGCAGGGTGGGCACTATAAAATACGCAGACGCGTTCAAACTTGTAGTTAGTAGTGCACACAGAGGGACGCCGTGACGCGTTCCAACGCATCCAACAGACTTGAAATCCGTTGCACATTTCTGTCGAAGGAGGACCACGAAAGAAACTTTGGAGCGTAGAAACAGGTAGCTGAACCGGTCTCACACGGTCGTGGTAGGGAGTCGACTCATTGCCAGTCACTCTGCTTCTCCACCTCAAATACAATGGGCACACTTGTCAAGTGCACAGTCTGTTTTACCTTCTACCTTCTGTGCTTTACAGTGCGGAATGTTTAAGTGATGTTTAAGTCAATTTATTAAGAGAATGAGGCTTTCGCCCTTGAGCTCCCTATTCATATCGATCAACAGAAATAGAATCAATAATTACACCAGCAAATGCGGAAATTCAAAAGTTAACGATAGGTGTCAGCCAGGCGCAAACTGCCGTCGTCAAAACAATCGTGGTTATATGTATAGTAATTTCCCATGAAATGAGCATCTAGTCTACACTTAAAGGATTCGACACTTTCGGAAAGAACTACCGCATCAGGGAGTCCGTTCCATGCCCCAATGACCCTGTGAGAGAAGGCGTTCCTTCGGACGTCCGAATGAGCCAGCTTCCTCTGCAGTTTGAAGGGATAACCACGCAGACGGTCAGACCCGACCAATTCGAAGAATTCAGCAAAGTTTAGGGCGCACTCATGGCCTCTGACAATTCTGTAGGTTTGAATGAGATCGCCGCGCAGTTGCCTGTAATTGGGAGGAAACAGATTTAGTTCGATCAGCCTGGTTTCGTATGGCAGATGATTAAGATTCTTGACCATCTTCGTAGCCATCGCCTGTACTCTTTCCAGTTGTTGATAATCTTTCTTCAATCACGGTCGCCAGGCCTGGACTGCATACTCTAAGTGAGACCGGACGAATGCCCCATAGGTTTTTCTGAACAGCCTTTTATCGATCTGCACAAATCCTCGCCTCAGCGCAAATAACACCCTTATCTCATTTTTGACTGCCCTTTGACACTGTGATGATGGCTTCAGCGAGAAGATCATTAGGAGGCCGAGGTCTTTCTGTTTCACAACATTTGAAAGGGACTGCCCACCCAGGACGTATTAAAAGGAATCGTCCGCCTTACTGGTCTTTTTGGTGCGGAGTCTCAGGACCACACATTTGTACGCCTTAAAATTAAGGAGCCAACGAGCAGACCAACTGGTCAGGCGGTTGAGACTGTCTTGGAGCGCGTACCTGTCTGCATCAGATCTGATGGGTCTCCACAGCTTAACATCGTCAGCAAACTAGATGGTGCTGCATCCCAGGTCGTTGACGCAGTCGTTAATGTAAATGAGGAATAGCATTGGCCCTAAGACGGAGCTCTGGGATACACCATTTAGAACGGGGGTAGGAGTTGACCTCGAGGCCTCAACACACACGGTTTGTGATCTCCCTGTAAGAAAATCTGTTATCCATGTCAGCAGCCTTCCTCTTATCCCAATTTCCGAAAGTTTATAGATTAGGGGTTTGTGTGGGACGCTGTCGAACGCCCTCTTGACATGTGGACAAGCGCTTTCGATTTACTGCTATCATCGCTTCTTTGGGTGAATTCTGACTAATATTTTGATTACTAATAAGTATTTTTAATTTATGGTTTAATATTTTGTTTTACTTACAATTTTGCCTCAGTATTTACTTTAGTTGCTCAGATATAACTTTGTCCTTATCCCCGCGACAATTTTTTCCTCGAAAAGAAAATATGCCAGATGATTGAAGACTGACGAATTACGTATATGCCCATTTTGAGACACCCTGTTTATGTAAGCATTTGCATTAATGTTTAAAAGGGGCCTTTATTGTGGCTGTGGTATATTGATTAACTAAATCTTCACAGATTGCAGCGTTTGCATGTAAAGGGTCACTATGAAGGACAGACAGAAATTTCGCAACAAGAATGAGGCAGAAAAAGTTCGGTGGAATTTGCAATCAAACGGCAGACTTTGACATGGACTGGATATCCACGAAGCAACTACCCTCCATCTGCGGACACTCGCATTTGGCTGCTACCGTCTTCGGACGTTCGTCGGGAAGACCACCAGAGTGGCGGACTAATAAAGTGGTGCGACTGACTTATGTTGCCGTCCAAACAGGACATAGAAGTCGGAACGGTCCGCTTGCGTAATAAAAGTGAACTTGCATAGGATTCCGGAAAGGGCAAACTATACCCGTTTCCTAACCTCGACAATAACCCTAATCGTGAACTAAACCGCTGCCCTAGTCTTGACCCTTACCCTTAATCCTGCTACTAAAACTAGCCCCTATCTGGACCCCAAACTTGATCCTGACTCACCTTACCGTTGACTTCAAATCAAGCCTTAAACCTAGTCCTTTACCTAACCTTAGACCGGTAAGATATGGATATGCAGCCACATTTGAGATAAACAAACCTCCGTCGCCTGTAATACGGCACCGGTGGTAATAGGGATTTTTACAGGTGGGGTAGGGGAACGCACAGACGACCAGGCAAAGTAATTGTATGAAAATAAATGTCATTCAGGAATGCGCGATTGTACTTTGAGTGGTTGGGAAATAGTTTCCCTAACCCTAACCTCTAACACTGACCCCTGACTCTAATCCCTGACTCCTAACAGTATTGTGTCCATCAGGTGCGGCTGAACCTCTTAAACCTTACCCCATTTTCATTGGAAGTTGGCTCAGGGCCACCTCTATTCCAGGCGGTTCCTGTTCTCGTGTCACTGTTGGGGGCGGGGCTACATGAGTCAGTCCTATCAATAAAGCGTATGGAAAGGTGGCTTAGACGCCATATATGAGCGACTGGCATCGATCTATCCTGGCTGTAGGCCGAAAATCTGAATTTTTGCCTGTCTGTGCTGAATTAGTTCGACTAACCCAGTCGAAACCGGTTACCCTATACGGCTCGTATAGCAAAGGTAAAACCTTTTCCCTTCGAACCCTAGGTTAGCGAGCGGAAGCCTTGTACAAGCCTTCCGCATTGTGAATGAATTACCTTTCAGCCGGGACTTTGGCGACTTTTTTCGATTCCGCTACCAAAACCAGAAGTTGAGGTCATTCATTAAAACTTGGTCCATAGTAGCCAAGGCTCGATGTGCTGGGGTTCAGCCCCTCGAGCATTGTATTGAAGACACGCAATACCCGTCCGTAGCTACTGTAATAATTGCTGGAAACCTTCATAAAGGAACTTTACGGATGTATGTTCCGAAATTAGCCTGAACGATAAGAAATTGAACTCCTTTCTTGAGATTTATTTTCCAGTACCTATTGCATTCATGAAACTCCCCAAAATCTGTAGTTTGTCTGTATACAAACTCACACATCTATGTTGCGGATGGGATACTCAAAAACTCGCTCCTATTCTTCTAAATAAACGGAAGTGGACTGAATGTGCACCGCAATTAAATTCTTATATGGAGCGGTCATGAACGCCATTCAACATCGAAGACCACACTGCGTGAGTCACATGTTTAGGGTGATGCAATCAATCGGACTACCATCGGCCCATTGATGAGTAATGATGCGAATAACGAAGGACGTGATACGAACGTTGACTATGCAAAAGGATAATGGAAAAATATTTTGCCCTGAGCCAAGGAGGTGTCGCGGTCCGTCTTCCGTGCTGAAGATTCCCGGCGTCGCCAAACGCGCTTTTTAGATGAATCATAGCACTGAGAACAAGAATCTTAGGACTTTTTAAAGGTAGTCTTCGACTCCTTCCAAAGTAACTATGAGCCTACTTATTGGTTACGTTTTCAGGCCCAGTTCCCACTGTCATTGTTTATTTCCAAATCTGACGAAAACCAGTAAATGCGGATCTAGTAAGTATTGCGGCAAAATTTCTAATTTTTACATGCAGTGGGCGTCGAACTTTATTAAGTACTGAATGGTAATTTTCCATACGCTTTCAAGTTTAAAATATCACTTGTAGGTGAGGTCGCAAAACTTACTGGTAGCGTATGTAACCCCCAATCCGTTCCCGGGTCGTCGCATGCTGACCTTTCATAAAGCATCCATCCGGTCATCTGTGTAAATCAAATGCAGAAAAGCTTGCCACTTAAGCAACATGAACCTGCAATGGTTTTTTTTGTGAAAACAGCAATTTTCTTCCCATGTCCATTTCATAGAAAACCACGTCTTTTGTGTCTCTGTTTCTGGTAAACACGAGTTTCGACTTTTAATGCCTAATCTTGTTTTGAATCTGATTAAAAAAATTGGCTGTGGAAGTACAAGAAAGTGGTTAATAACAGTTTCGAGGAGTCCTGCTCACAGCGCTATGGGTTAAAAAACAAACTCTGTCTGAATTTTAAGCACAGTGGGAGCGCACTAAACTGTAAAACACGACATGCAGATCTGAACTTTTAATTTACAAGTCAAGAGAATGTAAAGGTGGCTCTACGGTGGACTACCAAGTGTAAACAGTGAAAGAATGGCAAAACTTTGTGCGGATTTGACAGAGGAAAATTTACGCAAAATTATTCCACATAGCCAACGCCAAGCATGATAGTGCTAAACTAAAGTTCGAACAGCACTGTCAGTAGGAGTATTGCGTTTGCAATGTGTCGCCTATATTTGCAGGTCCACTGCGCCTCCAAGGCTTTACTTTTGACAGTTTTTGTGCCGGACTGCTAAAACGTCCTTTGACCTCATGAGTTCTCACCGCATTATGTCGCCTCATAAAGTTACCAGGTTTTTTCCGCGAAGTTATGGTGTGCAAGCACGTAAGTGAGCCGTGTGTACTTTCAAATGTGTACTTTTCGGGATAAGTAGCGGAATTTCGGTTGTACCACTGTAGTCCATGGAAATGAATATGGCAAACAAATTGTTAGAAGTATCCTTTCCGGAGTCGCACCCATATACAAACGTCTACCCAATGAAGGGAAGTGGCGAACATGTAAGTGGAGTTTCATGGGATGCTGGCGGTGGTGGTGGTGGTGATGGTGGTGGTGGTGGTGGTGGTGGTGGTTATATTCCAGCCTTGCGTACGTCGAAGAAATCCCAAGTTCTCACAAAACCACGCAGTGCGGAATGGTGGAAAGACGTTTTGGCAGCAATAACGAGGCAAACCGAAATGGTCCTATGGGGTTTACTTACTATCGTCGGCCTGTCATGTTCCAACAGTAGTTGCTGCTGCATCGGAAATTCGGGGCCGGTCCCAAAAGGCCAATGTGCACTTTAAGCCAAACACCTCACTGCCTATGCTGTGAGCTCACTTCCTGGGGACCCCGAGGTTCAGGGGAGCTGCCTTCAGGAGCCCATCTTATTCGCAGAACGGAAATGAGCGTTTCAGCTCCCCCCCTGGAGCTCCAGCTTTGAATCTCACACAGGCGGTCTCAGGAGGATTAACAAACAACACCCAAATTAGTCGTATCTGTGTTTATTGCATCTCTTTCAAAGTAACAGTGACCGGATTCATGAATACCGTCCGGAGGCCTTACATAGTGAAGTAGCGCATGCCTGCCTGACTAGACGGTCGCAACAGAAGCAGCTGTGCCACGAGTGTGGCTATTCCGCTAATAACGTTGTATTGACAGTATCCTGACGGTCTCATCCATTTCTTGCAGGAGTACCACCTACCTGGGTTTTTCCGGGCTTCAGGAGCATAGCCTCAAATGGGACAATGTAAGGAAAAGAAAATTAGTTAAGGGAAAATTCTTCATACATCCATTGTTGATCTGATGTTTGGACCCACGTTTGTGCCAAATCCGAGTAACTGTAAGACCGGAATATGCAACAAGCATGTCCTCTCAAACCGGTTAGGTGAAGAAAGTCGTTTTAATCGAGTCCGAGACCGCAGGGTAGCCTCTGCAGACTGAAACATCTTTTTTCACGCTCACTCACAGACTTTGGGGTACTTACAAAAGGCCTGTGTTCTCGGATTGAACCCTATTTGATCAGCTGTACTGCCACCTGAGATTCGATTTTCCTTAACCGCTAACAGAATTATTAAATAGGAGCCATTTCTCCTACATACTGCTTTGGTTATTTTGTGTCCTGTGTCTCAATACAAGTTTTGAAGGTTTTATCGCACAAAGTAGCTTACACGAAACAGGCGATTCTGAGTGCTAGCTATAAGCCTGCTGTGGATCGTTGACTATGATTCTTTTGTATTCATCGAAACCAGGCCCTTGTGAAGTATCTAAGTCCATTTGCCTCCGAGGGACATGACGGTGAACGGCACTGTACATCCTCGTAGACGAGTCAAAATTATTATAGGTTGACTGACTTTTGCATTTCCAAACTATTTATGACAAGAAAACTGATTGATGGAAATGCAGGTCGTCATCCTCGACAGCCACAGGATCAGAAATCAAGGATGATTCAACAAAACGTCTGGCCATAACGCCGGAAAGTCAACTCGTGGTGGCACATTAACTAGTGCACACCAAATCTACGATCGAATTAGGTTTGGTGTCTAGCAGGTAAATTTGATGCTTCTGTTTGGCTTAAATAAGTTGGTGAACGCTTGTAATTCGATAGCGCATGGGGACCTAACAAAGTCGACTGTTAGAAAATGGAATACATCGCTATGTTCAAGCCAGTTTTCAGAACCTCCTCCGAGGTCCTAGTATCAGTATCAGTATATTTCAGGGAAAGTAGGTGTGTACCTTTGAAATCCCTATTGGTTACGAGGGAGAGAACAATTTGTAGCGAGGGGGAGAACAATTTAGTTATATACAACAACCAAGTACGGCGCCGTCCGTCAATCTTCCTTTGGACAGGTCCGGTCCGAATGACCGCGCAGCCAACATATTAAGTGAAGGCGTTGACCAAAATGTAACCACATCTTCCACCAGCCGGAAATTGAAATTCTTGCACACCAACGTGCAGAGTTTGCTATCAAAGTTCGACGAGCTAAAGATCCACCTCTGCGACCTGTCCCCTGACGTAATCTCTTTAACAGAAACCTGGTTGACACAACACGTGGATGACCGTGAGCTGGCCTTGCCTGGCTACCAGATGTTTATAAGGGATAGGGAAGGGCGTCAGGGAGGAGGCGTATTCACGTATGTAAAGAATGGGGTAAATGTATCAGACAAGACCGATAACTTTTCGTGCAGTTCTTAGGCAATCTGGCTGTCTATTAAAGTGCCGAGCTCTCCTAGCCTCGATGTCCTGACAGTTTATCGACCGCCGAGACGGGACAACATGACCGACGCTCGCCTGCTGGAGCACTAGTAGGTAAACAGTCTCGTATTCATTCGTGCTCATAGCAGGTTTCAGAGGCAACAAAATGAGTCCCTGCTGCTGCTGCTTCCTAATTTTTGTTTTTATTGCCAATCAAGTTTTCTGTTTTTTTTTTTAACAAAGACTCTCTTCTGTCGTGTGTTTTTGAGGGAGACGAACCAAGTAGTGAAGTAATATGTGCTGAGAGGTTATTCTTCTCCAGAAATTGGCCTGTCTCCTGAACTGCGAAATTTACTGGGGCGGCTGCCTGCCCAAATGGACTGCCCCTCCGCTGAAGTGCTTTCTTGGTACGCATTAGTGAATTTCGAACTATAGCCGGAATGTTTGTCTGGATACTTGTTACATTAGTGCAAAACAAAGGTGTCTCTGCGAGTTTTCATGCAACCATCGACGCACTTTTTGTCGTCTTAGCATGGGGAGTTTTGGTGATATAGATATCGCCTTGCATAAAATCGCGATTATTGTATCTACCGCGCTCAGTGCGAAATTATTCACACTTGACTTCCGACCGGTTGCCATTTTATGAACTCTAGGACGCCCGCATCACCTGCGTGTTGTTCACTGCTAATTTTGAATATCTGTTGTGAATGCTGTAGTGAAGTTACTTAAGCGTAGAACATCCCTCCATATGAGTTCAGCAGTCATCTCAGGAAGCTAACAAACCCGGGAATGGTGTCTTCACGATGCTGAAAAGTAAATATTGAAAGAGAGTCCCTTGTTGAATTCTCCTTCACCAGCGAATCATTCTTCAGGTGCTCCTAACTGTTGATGTAAACTGACATTTCAAAGTTGCGCTTTCTGTTTTAGACAGAGGAATGTCTAAGTTGTTTAGGCAATAACCGTTATTGCATGAAACTGCGTCGCATTCTTTAAATACCGAATGGATGCGAACGTTAATACCTCCGGCCCTGTCGCCGGAACAAGAATTACAAACATCATCCACATCCTCATCATCATCATCCTCCTCCTCCCCCTCCTCCTCCTCCTCCTCCTCATCATCATCATCATCAGCATCATTTTCATCATCAGCAGCAGCAACAGATAAGAGTAATGCTTTTACAATGCTTTGATGGGACCCCAGCGGGTCTTTAATAAAAAATTATTATTTCTATAAAGGTTACGGCATTTAAAGAATGCGATTACTATCCTGCCGCATATCTATCGGAAATAACAGCGTCAGTATTTATCTCAGCAGGTCGTACTCGCTGCGGCGATTACTTGTTCACCCACGTCTGAGTCTTTAATCGTTGCGATTACATCACCAGTGTCAGCGACTAGCGTTGCAATTACTCGACCGCTTGAATCGTCAGTACTGTCACCGGAAGCGGTATTCATTCGCGCACCCGCCGCATGCCTAATTCGTCTGTCCACGGTGTCCGGCACTGGATACGGTGGGTCGAGTTTCTTGAGCTGGTTGATGGTCTGTAGGCTGGAGCATCATGACTGAAGTAGCTCGCGGCCCACGCGGTTATCACGCCTCGTGAGAATTTCCACCCTGCCAAACTTGAAGCCGTCGCCCAGTTGCGTCGAGTAAGCTGCATTCTGGAAGCTGGCATTAGTCCTGCCCTGTCCGTGACACAGCTGCTTCGCACGTAGCTGCATCAGGTCCGGCAAAGACAACTCCAGAAGGTTCCTGCCCTGGCAGCAAGTTTCTCGGCCTCGTTACCTGACACCCAATAGCTTCTTCTGGTCTGTGTGCAACTCAGATTCCAAGTGCTATGCGAAGAAGTCTGCCAGCTTCCGAGATGTTCTTCACTCACGGGACGCTCGACGACACCGACAAATAGTCCCCAAGGGATGTAGCGTCTGTTATGCCATGATCAGCAAAACATGGTCCTCGCGGCCTGGTGTGTGTTGACAGACGTCTGGCTCCTAGTTCCCTGTCGTTGGATGAGCTTGCGCTCCCGTTGGGTATACAGGTGGTGGGCATGGCTGCCCAGTCAACCTCCTCGCTCTGGCACCTGTTGGGATGTTGTTAGCTAAAATTCGGGTCAAGTGTTTGTTGTGGACCAGGGGGTGTGATGGTACGCTTACAGTAGATGTTCTAACTCATGAAATGTCAACCAAAATTTTGAAATGCGTTCACGTTTCGAAAAGATAAATTACGTAGTGTTGTAAAACTAATCATGATGCACCATAAATCTATAATGATCCAGTTACCTCAGGGTGTCGGCTTTCGAACGAATTTCTTTTCGGCTGCATGCAGAAACCACACTCTGCAAAAATAAGTACTTATGTAGCATGCATTTTTCTCATAGAATTTTGATGCCCTTAAAAATTAAATTATATTTCATGGCAAACATGCATAAAAATATTCATTCCTTTACTTATTCGGTAGAAAATCACGTCTTCTTCCAATTTCATACTCAAAAGAAGAGTATAATTTGGTTTTAAAAAACTTTTCTAATCCCGAATAATTTTGAACCCGACCTGCTGTTACACTTGCATTCAGGGTTTCAAAACCACAAGCTGTATATTTTCCGTGTACGGTAAATCATGCATTTCTCTACGGTGTTAAGAGGAGACCATATGATTTCATAAAATCAAGGAGTGCATTTGAGCAATATTGTTAACTTTACAAGCCATATTGGTAAATGCAGATACGTGACGTTTTATGAACGGCCATTTCACGCTATTAAAAACCTCACAATTAGAGACTTTTTTAAAACCGAATTATACTCTTCTTTTGAGTATGAAATTGGAAGAAGACGTGATTTTCTACCGAATTAGTAAAAGAATGAATATTTTTATGCATGTTTGCCATGAAATATAATTTAATTTTTAAGGGCATCAAAATTCTATGAGAAAAATGCATGCTACATAAGTACTTATTTTTGCAGAGTGTGGTTTCTGCATGCAGCCGAAAAGAAATTCGTTCGAAAGCCGACACCCTGAGGTAACTGGATCATTATAGATGTATGGTGCATCATGATTAGTTTTACAACACTACTTAATTTATCTTTTCGAAACGAGAACGCATTTCGAAATTTTGGTTGACATTTCATGAGTTAGAACATCTACTGTAGGTGCGAGTTTTCAAAGCGCCAGCCGCCTTCGGTCTTCTTAATTATGCCATGACCCTGGGCATGGGTAAGGGGGAAGAGGGAATGCCTACCCCACGCTGCTTTGGAGCACATAGTAGACACCGTGGGTTGCGACTTTCGGACTGTCGAATGGCAACCAGCAGATGGAACTATTGCAGCACATGGGCTAGACCTTGCGCAAGTGCTGTCCACGACTTAGCTGAGTGTGGTTACCCCTGAATCCCCCGAGCTCGCTGTTTGCAGGCTGGCCACTGTGGAAAGCTGAAATTAACATTTGACCGGCAGTCGGATGTCAAGGACAAAGAGTGCACACTGTCATTTGCATGCCCGTTTGCCCGTTCGTCAGGTGATCTGGATCGGGACTCTCATCGTGAGACAGTTTGACCAGAACCCACTGAGAAAGCACTTGCGATTTTCAGTTAGTCGACGTTGCAGCCTGGAGCCTTGCTCGGAAGTAATGAGGTGCACAAGTCAACTTTTACAACCCCACCCGTTGTCACGGATTTAACCTAGTTGTGGCCAGCGTAAAAGAACGCTGTAAACCACGTTAACTTCGCCTACCATGTAGTGAAGCATATTTAAGATTCTCGTGTAACTGGCCTTGTTTCAAATGAGCTGCGCTTTTTCCCCCTCCAAGTTTCGGTTCCAGGGCGAGAGCGGTGGCGAACCACGTTTCCCTTCTTTAGCGCATTTCGAAAAAATCCTGGCCCTAATTTATGCACTGAGGCGCGTTGATTAGAGACCCTGATCTGCCTCGTGTTATCTTTGAGAGCGTACTCGCGTGTGAGATCTCTTCTTCATTAGAATTCACCCATAACGTTTGGGTTTCGTGCGCGCTTGCCGTGAGGATCACGACCCCCCCCCACTCACCTCCAGGACCCTCGTGTTCCCTCTACTTCGCCTTTTCACTTTGCCCTGTTTGTTGATCTTTTGTGTTCATGCAGAGATTCGTTTATTACCGACGTGCCGTTATACCTCGGGACTGAACCCAGTCCTGTGAATGGGTAGTAGGCAGCAGTGAATGAAGGTCAGAATAGGCCAGAAACTCTGGAGAACTAAACGAGCGGCGTAGACGCAAGAAACTCAGGTAATTTGTTGCGTGATGGCATATACGGAGTGCACCTTACCACGCCCTGCACACACACACACGCGCACACCGTACCGCACTAAGTAGGTAACCTTTGACATTCTCTATTCGAAAGCCGCCGTTTCCGACAGTTCTTGCATAGGACAAGTCACTCCGAGACTTGCTATTGCAGAGATCCCCATTGTTCCACAATCACCTGGACGATCTACATTCAAGAGCATACAGCCCAACAGCTAATTGATTTTTGAAGTAGATAATAGGAAGTTTGGCGAGTTCGGATATCTTTGTCTTCATTCTACTACACGGAGTGCAGGCGGGCATTTATAGTGGACGATGGCTTGGCCAAACAGCGTATAAAAATGCTACCAGTGAAAGCTTGCAAGGAAGGACATTTTCTCCCGGATACTTAAGGCGTCCGAAACTTTTGCCGTAATTCTAAACAATGCAAGTCCCCTCTATATTCTGATGCGGGTCGTGCAGTGCGGACTACGTCGGGGAATCCGTCATGTGGAGACAAACCCTCACCGATGAACGTCCTAAGACAACGGAGGAGGCAGTATCTTTCATTCCTAGTGGCGAGGCATAAAACGGAGCCAGCACCCAACCTCACCTTCGAGGGCATCAAAATCCACTCGACTAATGGGATGATATAGGTATGAAGTTTGCATTCAGTACCTCTGCATCCCATATCTGATTCTTTTGCAAGCATACTGAACACCCCGGAGGCCCTAGAGCACAAAAGATATCAGGTTAGGCTGATAAAACCTTTTAAGGGGCATCCAACACCTGCATCATAATCTATTCAGTAGGCTATTTGCAGACAGAGAACCCAGGGACATGGGAAAACAGCAACTAATCTCCTTCTACTGCCTTATCCTATGAAAATCTATTGGTGGTATTGACACCCACACATATGATCCAACTCCTTTTCCTCCGAGGCAGTCATTCTAGGGCCAACAGACGAAACTTGTGGAAAATCCTCCTCAACCGGATTCAAAGCCACCTGCAAATACTCAGGGAAAAGAACAATGAAATCTCGTCGAGCAGTCCACCCTCAGATAACCGAATGAAAACCTACCGAAGACACGATATGCGATGTTAAACCGAAATAAAGCAATTTGGAGGCAGTGTTTCGAAGGTCTGACCAATTTCTGAAAACCGGTAACGTGCTTGACATTTTCTAGCAATCTTATGTTCCCTTTGCCAGAGCCCATTGTCCTGGACCATTTTTACTTATGCGAACCTATAAGTAGCCAGAAAAGTAGGTGTATAGACAGAAAACAGGACCAGCTGAGAGGTCAAGAAAGAGCTAAGTAGCACGCTGACCTCTTTGCAGGATGTCCGAACAATACGCCTTTCCTCTCAGAATTTGCGACGACAGTCAGCGGACGTTTAAGATAACATAAGTACGCAGTCCGCCTCGTCCGTCGTTTTGTGTTTTATTCGGCTAGTCCCCTCCGTTTGAGCTCGAAGACGGTGGTTGATATCTCCATTCGCTTCCTTACAGATCGTTGAGATTCAATTATTTTCCCTATTTCACAGGGTGCTATTTTCCACCGTCAATGTTACAGAGCATAATTCTCAGAGGCGCCTGGTTCACTGGACTGAAAACAAAGTCCATGGGATATTTGGCAGATGTAGATTATTCATTTGACCCAGTTGTGAAAAATTTAGCGGCCTCGGTGGGATTCGAAGTCACGACAGCAAGGACCAGGCTTGAGTACAGCCAACACTCTAACCACCTTAGCTATGAGGCCCCGACTAGCAGCAGTGGGTTTAATTACATTTTGGTCAGTTTACCCGCTTAGTCTGCTGTAACGTATGCAGTTCGCCAATCCTGATACAGTAAATTGACCGCTCGGGTGATATTTCCTGCATAATCAACCCAGAATCCGTCGGATGATTATCAGGCCAACATAACTGATAGGCCTATTTGGCAGATCTAAATTATTCATTTGATCCAGTTGGCCCAAGTGGGTGCAGTCAAGGTTCTCTTTCTGGTGTACTCAATCAGGTATTGTAGAGCATGACTATGGTACAAGAAATGAGTCGATTTTCAACATTCATGACTAGATATGTAGCGGACTTTAGACTCGACTTTCAGTTTAATTTGGCGACTGACTATACTGCTGGGGCTGCCGCAGCAGCAGCAGCTGTGATAGGCGCACTTTTGGCCCCATCGATCCCTTAGCCTTACCAGGCAA